TGCAAATAAAAAAAAAGAAAACCTGCAAATAAAAAACAAATGCTGCAAATAAAAAAAAGAATAGAAACGTTGCAAACAAAAAAGACAAACGCTGCAAACAAAAAAGACAAAACCGTGCGCGCGCATATGCTGGACGCGAGGGACCGGGTTCTAAATATGGCGACTTGCTTGTGCTAGGCATAAGGCACGTGTTTATGCACAATAACTTTGATCATGTTCTGTGCTCATTGTGGAGTACAAATTCAATTGGAAACGGCTAGTTTTTGCCATGCTTGTGGAATTCCGTTAGTAAAGCTGGAGGAAAGCTCTGGAGGCCATCTTCATCGACTTCGACTAGCACCAGTTCCGTTAGTGCTGATAATAAGGGCCTGCAGTCTTTTCAGGAATTCAGAGAAAAGAAGGAAAGAGAAAGAAGCACTCGTTTCGTAAAGAAACCTAAATTGTCAGCGCCAAAAAAAGACAGAATTACAGAGGTGACCATACAGATCGGGTTACTAAAGTATCGTGATGGTGAGCTGAAAACCGAAGAGTTATGGACATTCGACACTAGTAATAACATTGTATAACATGCACATCAGACACCGGAAACGGTAACAATAAGTAACTCGATACTCTAACATTGATTGACCCACGAGGAATACACATTTACTCTTACGCTGTTCTTTTATATCATTTTGTAAGCATTAGGACCTGATTACKTCTTCGTTGTAAGTACTTTATGATTCGATAAATCTATTACAGCATGCTAATCACACATTACCGTTTATATATCATGTATTCGTAATCATTRTTTTGTAGAATCACTTCTGCATCGTTATCGTAATAAAATAAACAATACGAGCATCGAGGAGTCTTTCTTCATGCAGAAGTGATTTAACCACGCCACAAAGTAAATATGGTCATAATAAGTTGCTCTGTCCCATCGTGTGACTTCAAGACAGACGATCTATCAGAACAATTGGTAATCGCCGTTCTAAAGAACCACGATCTAGCACATCGAACAAGTCAAACGACGGCTGCTGTACCAGCTCCCACGCCAAGCTTACGTGCCCCATCGCTTGATCGACCAAAAATAGTATTATATTCCCCCTGGGTATCCTCGCTCACAATCACCTTGGGTACATTTAGTTATGGGAGAAATTGCCCTACGGTAACCTGTCCCCAACAGCTACCTGTGGAGCAGGTAACAGCTAAGATATGCCCAGAATCGGGCTTCGGACTACCATGTGGACAGGTTTA